CAAGCGGGGGGCTCTCTGCGCGGGTGGCAGCGTGACGTTGGGGCGGGGGGAGCCTCACCAGCGGCCCAGTGGTGGAGGCTGTGCGGGCGCAGGCGTGGGCCTCCCTCGTGCGTGCCCAGGGATGAAGACACGGGGCAGCCTCCCGCCGGCTTCAGACCTTGCTCTCGTCTAAGCAAGCCCTGCTTGGGGGGGGGGGCACCTGCATGGAAGTAGCTCCACTGCTATCCCCCCAAGTGTTCCAGCCCCTTGACATTCCAGGCAGTTTCCATGGATTCTTCCCTTCCAGGAGGCGCTTTGCATGCAAATCAAAGTGCCGACTTCCGCAGTTTGGTGGCGGAGCTGCTCCCCTCCCCCCCCAGAGGCCTGGAAAGCTGCCACTGTGGCCCCCTCCGCACTGCAATGGGGGTGGGGGCACGGGATTCTCAAGCGCAAGCCCCTGGCTGGCCTCCGCGCACCAAGAGCGCTGCCCCAGCACAAGCATCCCCACCTGCTTTGGGCGGAGGGACCAATCCGACCCGGGCACCGGCCGTGGGCTCTGCCCTGCAGCTGGTGGGACTCGCCAGGCGTGCTGGCGGGCAGCCGCCTCCAGGTTCTCCTTGTCTCCGGCTCCTCCTTCCTGCCGCATCCTGACAGCTCCGCTCTGACGGTGTGGGCCACCCGGCCCCTTGCTGGCTCTCTTGCTGCAGCTCCACCCGGAGGGTCTCTGTGTGAGCAGGAGAGGCCGGCCAGGGTGGCCCCGGCCAGCGTGGGCCCCACAAGACCTGCAGTTCGCCGCGCTGCCTTCTCGCTGCGAGCGTCGCCGGCCTCATGCTGGTTCCTGGTGCGCATGCTTGGAGGCTGCAGGAGGCTGGGGCTCCGGAGCCCGAGCGTGCACTCTGCGCTGCCCGCGGGCTCCAGCTGCACGGCCGGTCCTGCGCTCGAGGCCTTTGCTGTGCCACTGGCTGCAGCGGGGCGAGCAGCTCCCCACCGCTCCCCTGCAGGCGAGCGACCTCCTGGGACAGGCCCTGCCCTGCTCCCTTGCCCGGCCGGGGGGCAAAGCGTCCCCAGCGCCTGCGAAGGCCCGGCTGGGACTGGGAGGTGCCTGGCGCGGCGAGGCCGGAGTGGGCCTGGTCCTGAGCGGAGGCATCTGCTCGGGCGCTTTTGGGGGCTGCTGGAAGGGAGCCTCCTCATCTGGGGTTTCTGTGGTGATCCTGCTGGAAAGGTGGAGGGAGCCGGACGTGCTCCGCTGCCCCCGAAAGCTCCCCCTTCGTGGCCGCAGAGCTTCCTTGCCACGTGCTGCCCGGGCGAGGGGGCTCCGAGCTCTGCTGGTCTCTGGGGAAGCAACCCCCGGCGTCCTCTCCGGGAGGCAGGCGGGCGCATGGGGTGGGGATGGTGGGGGAGGTGGGGGGCGCGGCTCGGTCACCAGGCACACAGGTGTTCCCAGCACACGCTTACCAACCTGCCAGGGGAAGGGGTCCGCCAGAGTCGTAGGGGTGGGAAGGGCTCCCCGGGGCCGGTGAACCCCAGCCAGTCAGAGCTGGCTGGGGTGGCCAAGGCCCCAGGCCCAGGACCAGGCCCCTGCAGGTTCCTTCCCTGCATTCGGCCGGCCAGGGCAGCCCTGCAGCACCTGTGGCCCCGAGGCTTCCTGTGTGGAGGCCTCTCCCACTTTGTGCCCCGGGTCGCTCCACAGCGAGCAGCGAGGGCGCCGGAAGCATGCCCCTCTTGAGCTGCCCAGCTGCAGGCACTTCCGGGGCCCCCGCGGCCCCCGCTGTGTCTTCAGAGGAAGGCCAGGAGGCGCCCCGGAGGAGGGAGGCGGCACAGGATGCCCGGCAGGGCTGGGTCGGGGGTGGGCACAGTCAGGAGCCTCCACCATGGGCCTGCCAAGCCCCCCAGCGGAGCAGGTGCCTGTGGAGGGATGCCCCGAGGTGGGCTCCCCACGCGACCTGACGCCCACAGCCGAGTCTGGAGATGGAGCCCCCCCCGCCACCCTGTGGTGGGGCTCCGTGTCTGCCCCAAGCCGGCGGCAGAGCCAGAGCCAGCCTCCCGCAGCAGCGCTCAAAGGACGCCTCCCGCCTAAAGCCCCGCTCTGCACGCCAGCCTCCTCCTCGATGCTCCCTCTCCGCCAGAATGAGTGCCAACACCCTTCTCTGTGGGGAGATGGAGATGGGCTTGTGCTGGGAGCTTTGCAGTTCCTTGCTGGAAGTTTAAGTGGGGCATTTAAAATCCCTGCTCTCCACGAAGGAGCCGAGCAGCTCTCCTCTCGTCCGGGCGGAAGCAGGCGGGGCTCCCTGGCGGAGAGGCCGCACGCACAACTGCCTGCCAAAGCGGGCCCACCGCGCCGAGGCCGCCCCTGCCTCCCTTCCGCAGCCGGGATGGAGCTGGCGAGGGTCTCACCGGCAGCGCTGCACAGCCCCAGACTCCGGACTCCTGCTGGGGGCGGGAGGGGGGCATTGGGGTGCAGGGGGTCTCATGGGGGGCTCGGGATGTTTTTCACACCCTGTCCCACGCCATGCAGAGGGAGGAAACTGCCAGGCGGCCGTTGACAGCAGCTGATGGATGCCAAAAACCCGACACTCATAAAACCCGGGGAACATTCGGAAAGACATGCTCTCCTGCTTTTCCCAAGACAGTCTGCAGAGCAGCTGATGTTAAGTGCGTGAGGCAGACTGGAATATAAAAATACTTAAATGGACACAAATCAGCAGGAAAGCAGCTGCGAGGCTGCCTCCTGCCCTCGCGGAAACAAGCGGGAAACGCAGGCGTGGGGGGGCTCGGCGAAGGCTCTGCGGGGCCGGCCTGGAGCCGCTTCCAGGGACGCCGCTCGGGCAGGGCTGGCGCGAATTCTCTGCTGGCTGCAGCACCTCGCCTGTCCCCCCGCGTGCTAGTCCAGCCTGTCCCGGAGACACCCCGCCGCGAGGCCGACTCTACCGAAGGAGCCCCTGGAGCAGGGCCTCCCGGACCATCGCAGCCGGGAGGACTGCTCCCCACGCGCCCTCGGCTCACCCCGGAGGCGAGGGCACTGGGACCCGCAGGCAGGAGGCTGCTTGGGAGAGTCCTGCCTGTGCTGCGCCAGGCGTGGGGCCGCCCGGGTGCTCTTGGCCACCCACGGGGGCTGCCAGGCGGGGCCTGCTGGGCTCACCCTCTTGCCGCAGCGGAGGTGGTGGGGAGGAGCAGTGGTGAGGCAGCACCGGTGGGGAGGGGCTCCTGGCACTGGGGGAGCATGTGCTTCCCATCTCCCCACGGAGGCTTCCCAAGGCTAACTGGCCGGCTGGCCCTTCTCTTGGGCCTTTGTGAGGAGCACCCACAGCGGCCTCTCTGCCTCTGACCTCCATCCAGAGGCGGACCCCACAGCTTTCCTGCGGCCTCCAGTGGAGCTGACATTCTGGGGGAGCAAATCCAGCCGGGATTTGCAACGAGTTCCGAAGCAGAAATGCACAAAACGGTGCTGGGAAGCAGCTCTCTGGCGGAGGCCGGCGGAGGCCCTGCTGAGTATTTGTGGGCAATTGCAAGCCTGGCGTAACAAGGGCAGGGGCCATATTTGCTCCGGATGATTGCAAATGATTAAAGAAAGAGGCTGCAAAGAGCTCCGGACGGATCGCTCTGTCCTGGGCGGAGGGGCTGTGCGGCCTCTTCCGACCCCAGCCGTCCATTCCGTGGCCGTGCCAAACACAGCCCAGCTTCCGGGGGCCACCTGGGGGTAGCCAGGGCCAGCAGCGGCTGATTAAGAAAGAGATCTCGGGGTCGCTTGGAGAAAGGCAAGCTCAGTGTAAGACGGACTTGCAGAAGGAGCTGAGGCAGGAAGGGCCGCAAGGGGAGGTCTCTGGCGTGATGCTCAGGGTGCCGTGCACTGTTCTGGGAGCCCAGAAGGGATGTTGCAGAGCTTGGCGAAAGGGCAGGGATGGGCGACTGGGCTGCTCACGGGGCTAGAGCAACTCCCCTGCGGGGGGAGGCCGTACCTGAGGGCAAGTGGGGGCAGTGGGGTCCCATGACCGCCCTCGGGGAGAGCAGAGAGCGGACAGAGAGTTGCTCTCCTGGCGCGGACCAGGGCTCCTCAACTTGGCTTCTCCAACGGAAATGGGTGGCCAGCAGGTTTCGAACAGGCCACCAGTGTCTTTCACCCATTGCGTGATCAAGGGATGGGCTCACTCGCCACAAGAATGGCCAGTGGCTTACGTACTCCCCTCTTTGTTGGCCAAGTGGAGGTTTGAGGAGAGGACAGTGGAGAGCTGCGTGGAGCCTCCAGGGCTGAAAGCCACGTGGCCCGCCAAGGGTGCTGCTCCGAGCTGTGGGGCAGATGCTGGGTTCAGCCGCTCCAACTCCTAACAAGTAGGGGGGGCGAGGCTTCCCACAAGCCCAGGGCCCTCTGGATTCGGTGGGAGCCCCAGGACTGGCGTCATCAGCCCGTGGTCTCCTGGGCCTTCGCGGGGGGCATCGGGCCGTGCCACACTGTGGGAGGCCCCACCGTGCTCCCCCTGCCAGCCCGTGTTGGCTGTCCGTGGGGCGAGCAGGGCAGGGACCGGCGTTCGGCTGCGCGTGCTTAGAGCAGAAGGTCAGGACTGCGCTGTGCCTGGAGTGGCCCCTTCGCTCGCCCTCGCCGAGGCCCCTGCCTCCCCGGCCCCCTGCTCCGCTCCTGGTTCCCCACCTCAGCTTGAGGTCCTTGCCCGCCCATCCTCCTTGCAGCGGCCTGATGCCTCCCATGCCCGTCCCCCAGGATCCCCCTTAATGCTGGGCTGTCCATACAGAAGTCTGGGGAGAGGAGCCCGGTGGGTACTGAGGGCGACAGGATCTGGCCCTCAGCACCCGATGCGATGCCTGCTGATGGCTTTGCACGTGCCACAGATTTGTGGCTGCCGTGGATCTGCTGAAATTTGGATTTCACTCCATCCGGTGCTGAGGGGCTGTGGTAAGAGGGAGCCTGCAGTTGGCAGGGCCAGGGGTCGCTCCCCGCCCCGCTCGCCCCGCCTGCCTGGGCTCCTGTAACGCCTCTCTCCTCTGTTGCAGGATCCTGACCCTGCTCTACCATGGAAAAACTGCTCTTGTCCCTGCTGTTCATCGGCTTGGCAGTGAAGGCGCAGATCTGTCCAAAGCGCTGCGTGTGCCAGATCCTCTCTCCCAACCTCGCCACCCTTTGTGCAAAGAAGGGGCTGCTCTTCGTGCCCCCCAATATTGACCGGAGGACAGTCGAGCTGCGACTGGCGGACAACTTTGTCACGAGCATCAAGCGGAAAGATTTTGCCAACATGACGAGCCTGGTGGATCTGACGCTTTCTAGGAATACAATTAGCTTCATCACGCCTCACGCGTTCGCGGACCTGCGCAACCTGCGGGCGCTGCACCTGAACAGCAACCGCTTGACTAGGATCACCCATGACATGCTCAGCGGGCTGTCCAACCTGCACCACTTGATCCTGAACAACAACCAGCTGACCCTGATCTCCTCCACGGCCTTCGACGACGTGCTGGCCCTGGAGGAGCTGGACCTGTCCTACAACAACCTGGAGACCATCCCCTGGGACGCGGTGGAGAAGATGGTCAGCCTGCACACCCTCAGCCTCGACCACAACATGATCGACCACATCCCCAAGGGCACCTTCTCCCACCTGCACAAGATGACCCGGCTGGACGTCACGTCCAACAAGCTGCACAAGCTGCCGCCGGACCCGCTCTTCCAGCGCGCGCAGGTCCTGGCCACCTCAGGGATCATCAGCCCCTCCACCTTCGCGCTGAGCTTCGGGGGGAACCCGCTGCACTGCAACTGCGAGCTGCTCTGGCTGCGGCGCCTCTCGCGGGAGGACGACCTGGAGACCTGCGCCTCGCCCCCGCTCCTGTCGGGCCGCTACTTCTGGTCGGTGCCCGAGGAGGAGTTCCTGTGCGAGCCGCCGCTCATCACGCGGCACACGCACGAGCTGCGGGTGCTGGAGGGGCAGCGGGCCGTCCTGCGCTGCAAGGCCCGGGGCGACCCGGAGCCCGCCATCCACTGGATCTCCCCGGAAGGCAAGCTGATCTCCAACGCGTCCCGGTCCCTGGTCTACGACAACGGCACCCTCGACATCCACATCACCACCATGAAGGACACGGGCTCCTTCACCTGCATCGCTTCCAACCCGGCTGGGGAGGCCACCCAGTCCGTGGACCTCCACATCATCAAGCTGCCCCACATCGTGAACAGCACGAACCACATCCAGGAGCCGGACCCGGGCTCCTCCGACATCTCCACCTCCACCAAGTCCGGCTCAAACGCGAGCAGCAGCAATGGGGACACCAAGGCAAGCCACGACAAGAAGGTGGTGGTGGCGGAAGCCACGTCGTCCACTGCTCTGCTGAAATTTAATTTCCAAAGGAATATACCTGGGATCCGTATGTTCCAAATTCAGTACAACGGGACGTACGATGACTCGCTCGTTTACAGGTAGGGGGCCTCAGGCCAGTTTCCCGGTGGCGCTCCAGTTGGCGGTTCCCCGGTCGCGCAGCCTTGGCTCGGCCCCCGGCTCCGGCGGTCCGGTAGATTAGCGTGCAGGCAGGTGGTCTGGGGCAGATGGCCAGGCCCGCGAGTCCGGCGTTGGCTCCCAGCATGGCCAGGCCAGGCAGATGCAGCAAGCAGGACGTGGCCACCGCAGAGCCCGCCTGCCTGTGCTCTGCTCCGGCTGGAGCGGTGCCTCTGCTGCCGGCAGTGTGGGAGCCACCGCGACCAGTGGCCACTGCCGTTCGCCGCGTGGTGGGTGGACCCAAGTCGTTCGGACTTGCTTCCGCCGCAGACTGGGGGCCACTCGGAGGCACAGGCAGGTAAGCTCCGCATCTGGCCGGCCAGACCCGGAGGAGCTGCAGGCAGCGGGGCCGGGGCACGGAGGGGGCGCTTCCATGGAGGGGGCGCCTCCATCCAGTGTTGCCTGGCAGAGCCAGCCCAACCAAAGTGGCTGCTGTGTGGCCAGCAGGGGGCGGAGTGGCCCCCGGCTTCTCCAGAGTCTGGAGGACTGAGGCTCTTGAGCCAGGGTGACCTGCAGCTCCCTCGCTCCATCCCTCCTGCAGCAGCTGCTCCTGCTGGGCAGGCCCCGTGGAAGCCACGCGCAGCCCACGGAAATGCCGCTGCTTCCCAGAGCATGGCCGCTTTCATGGGCGGCCTGGGGACAGGCCTGCTTTTCACCCCCTGAGGACCTTCCTGGCGGGATTTTCAAAGAGGGGGCTGTCGGCCATGTTGCCGGTGGGGGCAGGGGGGCTGGGGAGAGGGTAGGCATGCATGGCACACTGAGGGGGTCCTGGGTGTGGATGTGGCCGTTCACCCCACCCCCTGCTCCCGTGCCATGATGAGGAACAAGCGGCCATGTTTGGGCCCTCCAGTGCCAGCAAGCGGATTGCTGTGCTCGGGGATCACAGACAGAAGCCTCGGGGAGGCCCGGGGAGGGGGCATGACCCACAGCAGTCCCTCTGCGGCTGCGGTGGATGCAGCGCCATCTGAATGGGGCCCCAGAGACCGCTCAGCCGGAGGCTCAGAGTCACCTGGGCGACCCCAGGGCCAGAAGGGCCACTGGTATCGGGGCAAGCAACAGTGGCTAAGGCAATGTGACCCCCCGCCCCCACATTCCTCCCCAGAACTCCCTTGGAGTGGGGTGCAAACGCCCCTTACCATCATCCTCTTCCTTTCTGCGCTGCCCAGGCAGAGCGCTCTGGGCGGTTGGCAGCGATCCGGGGGCCAAGGCAGCCCCGCAGAGGAGGCTGAGGACAGCCTGAGCAAAGCCCCCCACGAGAGACCGGAGGAGGGGGCCAGCAGGCACTGGGCCTTTTGGGGGGCTCCCGTGCTGCAGAACACCCCGCAGGGAGCTGGCCTGGGGCTCCCGGGCCAGGGCCCCTCTGTCCCCCGGGGGGCTCTCACGGCAGTCTCCGTGGTCTTTTTACTGCTAGGTGTTGTATGTCTGGTTTTGGAGGCGGCTGTGCAATTGTTATTCTTATGCTGGCACACACAAGCAGGTCCGGGACTAGAGGGTGGAAAACAGCGTCGCTCCATGGATGCCGCACACACACGAGCCGCCCGGCCTTGGCAGCAGCCCCGGCCAGGCCCAGCCTGCGGGCCCACGTGGGGGCGGAGGCCTGCCAGTGCCACGAGCAGCTTTGCGTTTTATTTCGGGATAATCCCCCCGGCCTTTAACCCCCCCAAGGTAATCTGGTTAGCCAAGGGAGTGGACAGTCAGCCGGCTAATGAGCCCTTCACACCCTCTGGAGTGTCGCCGGGCCGGGCCAAGTGGGGGAGCTGGGCAACCCCACCAGGCCACCCGGGGAGTGTGGGGCGGGGGGGAACTGGCACGCTAAGGATCTTGGCTGTGCAGCCTGGCAGTGGAGCTGCTGCGCCTCCCGGGGCGATTTCTGGCGTGCCATTCCCCCTTTCCAAAAAACAGTGGCATCCTCCAAGGGGGACTGCTCCCGCAGATCCAAGCCACTGGTGGGGGGCGGGCTGTGATCCCACCAGCACCACAGGAAGCCCCTACCCGGAAAACAGCCCCAGGGCTCCCTTTGGCGGCTGCTGGGCTGCGTCTTGATCGCGCGGCCGGGTGTGCGCAAGGGGGCGCGTGGCAGGGCGCCCCTCCTCTCAGGGCTGCCGGGCATGTGCCAGCCAGAGGCTGTTGAGAAGGCAGTGGGAGGCCGGGTGAGGGGGGCTGCTGGGAGGCGTCTTGCCCCAGGGAAGGGCCTCTGGCGGGGAGAAGGCCGTCCCATCCAGAATGCTGTGCCAGCTGTGGCCCAACAGATGCCCCTGGGAAATCCACAGGCAGGCCAGGGCACAACAGCACCCATGTTCCCCTGAAGCTGGTGTACCGCCTCCGACACTGCAGGCGCCCTGTAGCCGTCAGGCTAGTAGCCGCGGACGTCCTTCTCCTCCATGAACTTGTCAAGGCGCTTTGTAAAGCCACCCAGCTTGGGCCACGGTCGCATCGTGTTGGACGATGCTCTGCATGAAGCGGCCCACTCTCCTCTCTCCCGAATCTCCCACCTATCAGCTTCCCAGGATGACCCCACACGGTTCAAGGAGAGAGAAGAAACGGTCTCTTTCTCCACACTAGGCGTGATTCCGTACCCTCCCACCGTGTCTGCCCTTCCTGTTTTTCTAAGACGAGCCAGCTCAGGTGTTGCAATGTTTCCTTGCCTCCTCCTAGGAGAGTTGCTGCAATGCTTCGTCGTGTTAGCAGCCCTTCGCTGCAAACTTTCCCGATCTCCAGCATCCTTTTCGTAGGTGCAGCGACCAAAGTTATGCACAGTATTCCCAGCCAGCTCACACAGTGGAGTCGTGTAACTGCAGTGTGATGCTGGCAGATGCATTTTCACTCCCGTGGCTAATTTTGCCCGACTCGGAGTTTGCATTTTTCACAGCAGCCTGACACTGAGTCAACGTTTTCTTCGTGCTGTTTACCACAATCCCAAGATCTCTTTCTCGGTCAGTCACTGATAGCATAGATCTCCTCAATTTATACTTGAAGATGGGATTTTGCTTTGCCACCACGTGTATCACATCGCGCTTGCTTGCTTGGGCTGTGTTTGCTCTTTTAATGCCCGTTGTCCGGTTTGGAAAGGTCCTTCTGGAGCACTTGCGGTCCCCTTTTATCTCCCTTAAATAATTGAGAGTCTTGAGTGAACTCGGCCACTGAGGGTTGCTCCCAATTTCAGATTGTTTATGAACAAGTTAAAACGCAGTGATCCCAAGGCTGAGCCCTGTGAGACTCCAGGGTTTACATTAACAGAATCCTAGGCTCATAGAATAGTCGAGCTGGAAGGGGCCACGAAGGCCATCGGGTCCAACCCCCTGCTAGTGCAGGACACCAGGTCACACCATCCCACTCAGACGGCTGCCCAGTTTCCCCTTGAATGCCTCCGGTGTGGGAGAGCCCCCACCTCTCCGGGCAGCTGGTTCCACTGCCGTATTGCTCTGGCAGTGAGGAAGTTCTTCCTGAAGTGCAGCCTGAACCTGGGTTGTCACAACTTGAATTGATTCTTCCGTGTCCTGCACTCTGGCATCAGCGAGAAGACACCTTGGCCTTCCTCTTTGTGGCAGCCTTCGAGGTCCTTATAGAAGGATATCGTGTCCTCCCTCAGTCTTCTCTTCTCATGGCTGAACATGCCCACTTCTCTCAGTCTGTCCTCACAGGGCAGTGTTTCCAAACAGTGCTTCCTGGATATTTTTGTTGTCCTCTGGACCCTTTCTAATTTTTCTTCATCTTTCTTAAATCTTGATGCTCAGAACCGGACACAGGATTCCAGGTGAGGTCGGACTAGTGAGGAGCATAGGGAAACCACTATTACTTGTGATTTGGAAGTAGTACTTCTACTGATGTATCCCAAAAGAGCATTTGCCTTTTTGGCGGCTGCATCGCATTGTTGGCCCATATTTAGCCTGTTGTCCACAATTACTCCAAGGTCTTTTCCTTTTTCGGTTCTGTGGAGCCACGTATTCCCCCTCTTGTATCGATGCATCTGGCTTCTTTTTCCTCGGTGGAGGACTTGGCCCCACTGGGAGCACGTGCCCTTTAGTCCTGCTCTCCACTCTCTCTTCCACTAGCAATTATTGAGCATAAGAAGACCTTCCCCCTTATTCTGGGGCTGCTAAGTTTGCTCAGAGGCTCTTGGTGAGGGACCTTGTCAAACATCTTTTGGAAGTCCAAGTAAACGAGGTCGAATGGATCACATGGTCCATATGTCTGTCCACACCTGTTTATCTGGCAGAGACATTAATCCAACCAACCTGTAATTTTCTGAATTCCCTGTGGTTTCTTGTCTTAAAATTGGTGTGAAATGTTCTGTTTTCCAGTCTTCTCAGAGAAGGGCAGATCATGCGCTTTTTGTTAGAAGGGGAGCCATTCATTCTGTGTTGCCGCGGCCATGGGCTAAAGGCCTGAACGGCCCCAAGGAACTGGCATGGCAGGTGCCAATTTGCTTCAGGGGAGACATGATGGGCTTTTCAAGCGGTTTAGCAGCAAGTCGCTTGCCATGCGCAGCCTGGCACGGCAGGCAGGCTGCGGGCTGCGAAGCCCCCTCAGGAATGTGGGTAACCGAGCGATGCACAAAGAGAAGTGGCCAGGCCAGCGGGAGCTCTGGTGGGACAGGGGCTGCCTGTTCGCACGTGCCGTGACTGTGCGGCCTGTTTGCTCACTGGCAGGGCGAAACAGGCAGCTTCCCTTTGCTGGAGCCGCCACCCTCCGCAGCTCCCCACCCTGGCCAAGATGTCTCGAGACACAGTGCAGGTTTTCCAGCTTAGCCAGTCAAGCTGGAAGAGTCCCAGGACTTGGGAGTCTTATTCCCACTGGGTGCTCCACAATGAAAGGCTATGGTATCAGTAAGCTAACTGAGCTAATCATAGCACCAAGCTTAAGCTCGTTAACTGGGCTGATGAAGTGGGATCCCAGGCAGAGCACAGCTGCGTGTGCCTCCTTT